AAGATCAATCATCCTTGCCACTCTCTTGCTTTTCGTCAGAACACATAACTGTGTATGCGTGTAAACAAACGGACGCAGGTGACCATATCAATTATGAAGGTTTGTATACATAATCTGAGAACAGTTGCCTCAGTAGGGTTTGTGTATTCACACAGTTTCCCTTTGTGATCTCCGCTACATTTTGATCGAGAAGCATCCACATTTAGTTTACCTATTAACTTGGGGAATAATTGCAAAGTCCATTCCTAATCCCAGCCGCAGTAAAATTCTCTCTTTTCTAAAGAGGAAGAAGTATGTAAACAAAAGCCCAAATTCAAATAACTGCAAATAATGAGATAAGAACCAGGAGTCCTGGTGGTGTAGTGGTTGTGTTGGGCTGTTTAGCTGCAAGGTCCGCAGTTCGAAACCAGCAGGGGCTCCTCAGGAAGGTGCCGGGGCTTTGTACTTCTACAAAGAGTTATGGTCTTGGAAACTCACAGGGGCAGTTCTGCCCTGTTGTATAGGGTCACTATGAGTTAGCACTGACTTGATGGCAGTGACTTTATGTAGATGAGGATATTTTCTCCTCACTCACTAATTCATGGCCATCGAGTAGATACAGATTCACAGCAACCATGTAAGACAAAACAGAATTGTCCCCATGGGTTTCCAAGACTTAACTTTATGGGAGTAGAAAGCCTGTCATTCACCTTGGAGAGTTTTGAAGTGCTGACCTTGCAGTTAGCAGCTCACAGTGTAACCCACTAGGGCTCCTTCTTTTTCTCCTTAGAACAACTAATTGATCAGAGATCTCTTTCCTCCAAAGAAAAGTATTTCAATCAGGTCCTGGGGCAGGGGTGGGGGTAGAAATAAGCATGAAGTGTGTGTGTCCACTAGGTCTCAACACACAGGCTCATGTATCTCTTATTTAGCTTTCACAATAGCCCTGCAAGGGTCGGTGCTTTACTCCCTTTTCATAGATGAAATTTAAACTCACAACTGCTAGAACACCCCAGGCTACACAACCAGGGGGAAAGACGAAAGCTCTAATCCTAAGCACTGTTTTCCCAAAGTCTGGATAGAAATAATCTGCCCGAGTACGTACTTGCAGAAAATCCAGGGCTACAAATCGGTTCACTCTGATTCAACCCCTTGCTGAAAATTTGCCTTTCCACCGGCTATCCTCTATCGGAATTTACAGGCTCACAAGATCCCCAGGTGGTGTACACACACACACACACACACATACACACACACACACACACACACTTTTTATAAAGATATGTAAACATTTGAGACAAAAGCCAGAATTCACATAACTGCAAATATCTAGATCAGAATGGGCACATTTTCTTCTCACCAACTCATTTTCATTGAGTGTATTCAGACTCAGAGACCCTATAGTAGTGGTTCTCAACCTGTGGGTCGCGACCCCTGGGGCGGGGTTGTTCAATGACCCTTTCACGGGGGTCGCCTGATACATAACAGTAGCAAAATGGCAGTTATGAAGTAGCAACGAAAATAATTTTATGGTTGGGGGGTCACCACAACATGAACTGTATGAAAGAAGAGGGGCATTAGGAAGGTGGAGAACCACTGCCCTCTGGGATAGAGAACTGCCCCTTTGGGTTTCTGAGGCTGTAACTCTTCAAGGGAGTAGGAGCCTCATTTATGCGAACCACCTGGGAATATTGTTAAAAGATAGGTTTTAACTATCTGGGCTGGAAAAGCAAATTCTCAGCAGGACCTTCCCCCCAAACCCGGACTCAGAAAAACAGTCTCCAGGACGGGGTGGGTAATGTGTATTAAAACACTCAGCCAGGAGGCCCAAGACAAAGCCTCAACGCCCTCACATTTCCCGATCAAACCACCTCTGGAAAGGCCCCAACCGTCCGGAGCGTGTTCTCTTTCTCCTTCACCTCTGCATGCTCCCATTTTTCATACCGCAGTATTTCAATTCCTGGCCAGGATGAGGCACTCCCCACCAGGCTTCCAGCCCGGCTCCGCAGGGGCCTTTCCGGAGCTCCTCTGCGGGGGCAGCTGGCCCCCAACCGGGCCTCTTCCGTTGGTCGCACTGTTCCCACCGCCTGGAAAGACCTCTTTCCTCTCCTGTGCCCTGCCCGATTGCTCGGGGAACTCCTCCACCGGCTGCGCGTCTCCGTACCCAGGCATCCTCGCCTCCCGCCACCCGGGTTCTAGGACTGGCCCGGCTCTGCAGCTTGGCAGCTAGTGTCTGGGCCGCAGCCTTTGCCCACCCTCGCTCGCCACCTGGCTTTTCAGCTGCAGCCCTGGGAAGCCCTGGGCACTTTCCAGACTAGCCAACTACAGGTTGCCGCCGGCCGCGGAGTTCCGAGCGCGTGGGGTTCGGACAGAGGTCCCGTGACTGTGTTCTGGCCTGCCGGCCCTTACGAGTTGGGAAGGAAGCCGGGGCCCCGGGCCGGGTGCCACTTCTCGGGCGTGCACCACTCGTGCTGGCCCGGCCTGTCTCGATCCCGCGACCACACGGTTGCCTCCGAGTGCTGGGCGGGGAAGCGGGTCTCCGGGGGAGCGCTGCGCCCGGGAACGCGCAGGGAGCGAGACTTGGCCAAGTCACTGCGAAAAGTTGTGGTCTCGCAGCCTCACCTCCTGGACACACCTTCCCGCTCTCCGCGGCCGCCGCGCACTGACGTCCGGCCCACCTTGCGCACACGCCTTCCCCGCGGTCACCAGCCGTCCCTCTCCCGTACGCGCCCGTGGGTCCTCGCGCGCTCCCGCCGGAGCCCGGGGAGCTT